TCCTATTACAATCTTGATTGCCATGATTCTATCTCCTACCCTCTTGACATCTACAACATCTTGTGTCAAGGTCTTGTCCACGATGATGCCAACACCGTTTCTCGTTCTATTTGTGCCCGAATACCAAAGTTTAAACCCTGAGTTTTCTAGATCTTTTGCCTTACGACCAACCCACTTAGTTTCTTGTAGGCACATAATATTTATCCTTCTCCTCACCATAACTTCCACTACTTCCATAGATTTTCCCGTTAAGGTTCCTATATTCCACGTTCCTAAACGCATTTTGCTCTCTTGAACTCTACCCTTCTGTCCTAGCTTCTTCACCCTCCCTCGTCTAATAGGATCAAAGTACTTCTTTTGTGTGTCCCGTGTAAAGTTGGTAGGAGCATATGCTCCCAAACAACTTTGAATGGAGTCGTTCGAAAAGAAGTTTCTATGGCCCCTTTGCTCATTTAACACTGCATCCGGGTGCCGAAGGAGATACAGCGACCCTTGCTCACTTATCACTGTGCTCGGGCCACACAGCGCGCCACTTACGAGTGACACCCTAGCTTTAGTGCAATTTCATTCTGGATTCATTTTCATAAGGATTCGACGTAATCATGGAGTGCCGGCTGTCGACTACCTGACGCCCTCCCCCTCCTTCTTTATCCGGGCTTGGGATCGACAATGTAAGATAAACTTACACAGGCGGAGTTAAATTTATTGGCACAATACTAAAAGAATTTGCAAATTGTTATGCATTGTGCTAATTTTAACTACCTCAGTCTGATGGTGCTCCATATCCGTATCTTCTACAAGCTTATTAGTAACCTCGCGCTCTCCTATGGGCTCATTAAGTTCTTGTTCTTCATTAGTGGACTTAGTAGCCTCTTTTTTCTTATTCTTATACTGATTGTATTCCATACCAATTTTCGAGTTCCTGCTTCAAGGTAATACTAACGTTTTGCTGTATTCTAAAGGTCTGGAGCTCTTGGTTTATTTTGGTAAATTGGACAACTACTGCATCATTAAAAGTGTGTGGAAACCATTTTGAAGTGAATGAATCTAATGTTGACTTTTGTGGGAATTAAAATTAAAATTATCAAACTCTTACTCTATAACCCTAATGATCTTCTCAAGACCTAACCTCATGCTTGGTTGTCACATCTCGGCTCGAACCCCACCAAATCCTGGGCTCAACTCCACCATAGCACGATATTGTCCGCTTTGGGCCCCGATCATGCCCTCACGGTTTTATTTATGGGAACTCACACGAGAACTTCCCAGTGGGTCACCCATTATGGGATTGCTCTCGTGCGAACTCGTTTAACTTCGGAGTTCCGATGGAACCTGAAGCCAATGAGCTCCCAAAATGCCTCGTGCTAGGTAGAGATGGAAATATACATATAAGGCTTACAGGATCCACTCCCCTGGGCGATGTGGGATGTTACAATCCACCCCTCTTAGGGCCCGACGTCCTCATCGGCACACTTCCGGCCAAGGATTGGCTCTGATACCAAATTGTCACATCCTGCCCCGGGCCCCCACCATATCCCGGGCTCGACTCCACCATAGCACGATATTGTCTGCTTTGGGCCCTGACCACGCCCTCACGGTTTTGTTTCTAGGAACATCATGGGATTGCTCTCGCGTGAACTCACTTAACTTCGGAGTTCCGATGGAACCCGAAGCCAGTGAGCTCCCAAAATGACTCGTGCTAGGTAGAGATGGGAATATACATATAAAGCTTACATGATCCACTCTCCTGGGCTATGTGGGATGTTACATTGGTGCCTTAATCTGTATATTTCAAAAATTATACAAAAGTACTTGTTGCATATCGGTATGTCCTGATACTAATGGTCTATATCTCAAAGTGGCCTTCTTTATTCCTTCTACTATTGTACTATTAAAGTTGAAAGTGGGTACTGGTGGTACTGGTCTATTCATGCTACTTGTGAATCCATAGAATGGTGGAAGTCCATTATGCATCATTATACTATTGTAAGTTGCTTTGCTACTTTGTGGTTTTTTGCTATTTGAGAACGATATTCCTTGGTACTCCCTTGCTATTCAATGAATAAACTTTGATAAGATATTTGCCAATGTATTATCACTAACTTTAACATGTTACAAAATTAGTTTAAAACAATTTCCTGTAATTGAATCAACTAACTTGTTCATCAGGCTTAGGTGATTCCTTATGCTTTTTTTCTACAAAATTCATGCCCATCCTAATTATGATGCATTTGTTTGAACCATTTTATAATTGCCATCTAATGGCAAAGTTAATGGTTTAAGCTTGGTAATTTCTTGCTTGATATTTTGAACTAGTTTAATATCTTCACTATTGAAATAATTTTGTCAAGTTTTGCTAGTTTTACTATGTAATTCTTCTTCGTAAATCAGGTATAAAAGAGTTTGGTTATTGTATGTGGGCTTATTGATAAATTTTGTATCTAGTGTTAATTTCATCTTGTACTTGATAGTAATTATACAATAAGGCAAAAAAGACAATTCACATTTAAAATTTAACAATAAGTTGGGTGTAGAGATTTATGAGTTCAAATAAAAATTTTCAATCTCTATATAAATCTAACAAAAAAAAACAAATTGAGTAGGTTTTTTTATACAAGTAGGTTGGTGAATTTTAGTGCATTTACCAACCAACCTAAGGTTGGACTAGGTTGGGCTCAGTTGCTAACTTTAAAATTTTAATTTTTAGGGAAAAACCAGACTATCCATTCAATAGGTGGATTGGGTTAAGTTGAAATAGTATTAACATGATTGAAATCAACCATGGCCTTAAATGCAGATAATATCGGCAAAATATCACCGATATTATCGGTTTTTCGTGGTAACGATATTTTAATAGGTATCCAATTAGTTTTCGTCAAAATATCGTGATATTATCGATAATATCGATAATATCGCGATATATTCGATATTATCGAAACAATCTCGTCGGAAAGGCAACCGAGGCTGCGTCGTCGCACTACCCAGATCTATTGCAGACTCAAACCTAAGATTTGCGCTTCAACGACGCCGATTCCGCCGCCATTGTTGAAGTCGCGGCGAAAGAGCTCGCGGAACGAATCGCAGTTGTAGATCCGGAACCCGTGGTCTGTCCCCACGGCGAAGCAGGTGTGGTCTTGGTTGAAGCAGACGTGGAACAGAGACGGAGGCGAGCGCGGCACCGGCGGGGCGGACTCTGGGGGGAAGAGGAGAATGGGTGGTTGTTGTGGAGGTTGAGGTTTGGGTTTGGGGGAGATTGGGGGTCGTGGTGGTCGTCGCTGGAGTCAACAACAAAGGTGGGGTTGTCGTCGGTGGGATCAGTGAGGAAGGCGGAGGCGGAGATGAAAGAGTGCGAAGAGAGAGAGAGAGAGAGAGAGAGAGTGAGTGAGTGAGAGCAGAGATGAGAGAGTGTGAAGGCAGAGGCGGAGATGAAAGAGTGCGAAGAAAGAGAGAGAGTGAGTGAGAGCAGAGATGAGAGAGTGCGAAGGCAGAGGCGGAGATGGAAGAGTTCGAAGGCAAAGGTGGAGATGAAAGAGTGCAAAGAGAGAGAGAGAGTGAGTGTGAGCAGAGATGAGAGAGTGTGAATAATATGCGGTGGTTGTGCAAGTTGAGGACTCAAAAAATTGGGTAATGTGAGATAGCAGATGTTGACGTTTTTGGATAGTTTAAAAATTGAAAACCATGGACTTTGAGATGGTTTTAATCATGAAAACCACCCAAGGTGGATGGGTGATGGGAAATAGCAAGGTGAGGTGGACGGTTTATAAAGTGGAATATATATACATACATATATATATCTTATATAAATTATAAATTATTGTTTTCGATTACAATTTTACATAATTTAAGAGCATCTTCAATATAAATTTTAAATAAAACCCCCACAACCATATAATTGTTAAATAAATAAAAAAAGGGTAATAAGTCACCCATGTATCTTACCATGCAATGTATAAAGTGTAAAATATTATACTAATTCATTATATATAAATGATTATGGTGTGTTTAAACTCCTTTTATTAATTACTACATATTTTCTACACTCACAATGTTTGCCAGCTCGCTATATAATCAACTTAAATCAGTTAAATCCATCATGCAATGCATTTCCTTCCAATTTTTTGTGATAAACTAATAGATAATTGACTAAATAAACTTCCTGCAAAGTTTCAATAAAAATTTCCAAGTTTTTCTTACAATTTCCGTGGTTTCCATATTATTTTTATCGATATCGATAATATCCCGATATTTCCATCGATATTTTCATGTTTTTGGACTACCGATATTTCCGATATCATCGATATTTAATACCTTGAAATCAACCTACTTGAATATCAACAATTCTTAAATATACATGTATATTACCTCGAAATTAGAATGTACATAAACTCAATAATTATCAAACACACTTGTTTATATACTTTAGTTAAACAATGAAATTTAAACATTATGTAACAATATTGATTATGCAACACCAACTTTACATGATTTAAGTCTAATATGACATGTATTTTGAACTATTTGTCACTTACATTCACTTTAGGAATAATAAAATAAAAAATGTCAACTCGTGAAACTTGCCCAGCAAAACCTTGCTTAAAATGGTTTGGGTGGGTTAGTTTGCCCATTTTCCTAGGTGGAAATATGTTTCAGTAATCCCAAACCAAACCTATTAGGTTGGCTAGCAGGTTAAAATCCAGTTCGATCAACTCACCTAGTACCCACTCCTAGATACAAACTATACTCTACAGAAAATTTATCCAAACTAAAGACTTATGGTGCGGCATTCGGTTAAGCCCAAGCCAGAAAAAACAAGTCAAATAAAATCAAACTGGATAATACTTGGGTACTCATAGACAGTACCCAAAGAACTGACTCTTCGAAAAAGTGGCCCAATTAAAATTTTACACGTGGCATGTCCAAGCACTTCCCGATGGACGCCCTTGATTTACTGAAGTATGGTGTTGTTTGTGGTCATAATCACGATCTTCAAGCCATGGCCAGAAAACAAGAATGGTGGAGGCGTTGGAGTCCTGGAGGAAGATGGGGATGTTTGGAATTGGAAGAGTCATTAGCCCTACAAGTTTTATAAAACTATAACTTTAATGGGTGTCTTATTTACATTGGCCAATTCAAAGGGTGGGTAGTCCAAGTATTGTCCAATCAAACCGAGCACGTTAGCACACCTGTCACTTTGGAGGATGAAGTCCCTTCCATTCTCCATGGCTGCTCTACAAGGATGAACTAAAGTAAAAGTTTCCTCTGAAGCCAGAGATCGACAAGTATTCTTCGCTTACAACTAAAAGAGAAAAGTCCCTTCCATGGCTGCTTTAACTGCTACTGCCCCAGCTGACCGAATACATGTATTCTGGCACGAGGGCATGCTCAACCACGACTCCGGCCATGGAGTATTCGACACTGGAATGGATCCTGGTTTTCTAGACGTTCTAGAAAAGCACCCAGAGAACTCTGACAGAATCAAAAACATGGTTTCTATTCTAAAAAGAGGTCCCATCTCTCCCTACATATCTTGGGTTCCGGGAAGGCCTTCTCTGCTCTCTGAATTGCTCTCTTTCCACTCTCCAGGTAATTAATCTCACTTTCCAAACTTTTCCAACTTCTGGGTTTTGGTTGAATATGATTGGGTTTTTGAGGTTTTGAATTATGGGTTCTCTTGGGTTTTTTCTTTATGTGCCATTAAATTTGGATTTAATCAATTACCCAATACACTTTCAGTGCAAATTGATGTGGGTTTTTGAAATTTTAGTCTTTGGCTGATATATTAGTGATTTATGATATATGTGAGTTGGTTATGTTATGAACAATATTGTTTTGGGTAATTTGAGTCTGATATTGGTTTAAATGTGATTTTGTACTAGAATACATAAATGAGCTAGTTGAAGCAGATAGAGATGGGGGTAAGATGCTATGTACCGGCACTTTCTTGAACCCCGGCTCATGGGATGCCTCGCTCCTTGCTGCCGGTACTACATTATCAGCAATGAGGCATGTACTTGATGGACACGGAAAAATTTCTTATGCATTGGTTAGGCCTCCGGGTCACCATGCTCAGCCTACACAAGCTGATGGCTACTGCTTCCTTAACAATGCCGGTCTTGCTGTTCAATTGGCTTTAAATTCTGGCTGTGCAAAGGTTGCAGTCGTAGACATCGATGTTCATTATGGAAATGGGACTGCCGAGGGGTTTTATCGGTCTGATAAAGTTCTTACAATCTCCCTTCACATGAATCATGGTTCCTGGGGCCCGTCTCACCCACAAACTGGCTCTGTTGATGAGCTCGGTGAAGGGGAAGGGCTAGGTTATAATTTGAATATACCTCTGCCAAATGGGACAGGGGACCAAGGATATGGACATGCCATGACTGAGTTGGTTGTCCCTGCTGTTGGAAAGTTTGAACCTGAAATGATAGTTCTGGTCATTGGCCAAGATTCAAGTGCGGTAAGTTAAATTTTCTACTCAACTCTAATCTAGATGATTAGCACCTGATTGCTTATTTATTTTGAATGGGATGATGTCTGGTTGTTTAGGATATGTGTTTACTGCCTACAATACCTAAAGTTAAATTTTCTACTCAACTCTAATCTAGATGATTAGCTACCGTCGTGATTATAATGAAAATTCATCTTGCTTAACAAAACTGAAATTCTCATCATCTTTAGGTCAAAAACTCCCATCATCCTTAAAATAGCCGTTTGTCTATAGGAATTACTGTTGGCATATTTGATTTTTCATAAATCCGTCATGGCCTGAACTTCAAGCTTTTCTTTTGCTACTCCAAAAGAAATTTCTTGTTATTGTCAACAAAACCTGAAGTAGCTCATAGTATAACACTGCTTGTGCTTAGTTTGATCCAAATGGAAGGCAATGCTTGACAATGGAGGGTTATAAAGAGATTGGCCGCATGGTTCGGGGCCTGGCGGATAGACACTGCAGAGGACGTCTTCTGATTGTCCAGGAAGGTGGATATCATGTTACCTACTCAGCCTATTGTCTTCATGCAACACTTGAAGGTGTGCTTAACCTACCAGTTTCTTTATTATCTGATCCCATTGCTTATTACCCAGAGGATAAGGCATTTGCTATAGAAGTAATTAAATCTATTAAAAAGTTCCAGAAAGACAATGTACCGTTTTTAATTCAAGATTAATTTGGACATTGCTTTTAGGCAACCTTATTCTATATTTGTATTCTGTCGATGATATATGAATGTTATATTCGAATGAAAGTAAATCTTGTTGCTTATGCTTCATTGTTTCTGTATGAACACCCGAATATTGAAGTACACCTACCAATATTCCGACGAAGAAAAAACACCTATTCCTGTGGATGCATTTAGTCTTCGTATTATATGGTTTAATGTGCCTTCAATGTTTGTTGCTAAATTAAGGTTGAAAAGAATGTCTGTTACTTAGGATTAACCAATAACAGCATACATACAAATGCTTTCCTTTTCTCTTTCACCATTTTCGCAGTATTCTTCAATGAAAGAGCAGTAACCTTTCCAGAAGTGCAACAGTTATTTATCTGTCTTATGGAAAAGAGATTTGGGCTTACGGATCTGTTGAACTTCTTGGGTATGTTGGTCTTTTCGGTTTGTTCCCTAGAGCAACGCCATAAGGTCGTGGGAAGCTGTGTCTTGTGTTTCGAAATTGTTAGAATTGTGGACGGATGGTATTCCAGGCCCTGAGTTAGTGGAGGAGACTACTCGAAATATTCAAGTAATTAAGTCTAACCTGGAAGTGAGCCAGGATCGGCTGAAGAGCTTAGCAGACAAACATGCCACTGACCGGACGTGTAATGCAGGAGATTGGATGTTTTTGAAATTATCACATTGGAAAGGTGCGATTCGGGTCGAAATGGAAGACAAGTTAAATCCTAAGTACATCAGGCCGTCTTTGACTATTGAAGGAATCGATGAAATACTTTCAAGTTTGAGTACCTTCGGGATTGGATAAGGTGTATAGTGTAGTTCATGTTTTGATGCTCCGTTACAAAGTAACAGATTCGTCGTGTATGATTCCGGTTCAGCCCTTAGAGATTAATCCAAATTTGACTTATAATGAGGAACCCATGATTATTTTGGAATAGAAAGAGGAAGTCCTGAGAAATAAAACAGTGTACTTGGTAAAAGTTTAATGGAGGAATCATTCAGCAGAAGAAACTACTTGGGAGACAAAAGATCGAATGAGAGGGATGTGTTCCAGGTTGTTTTATGCATATCGATGAATTGTAAAGATTGTGTAAATTTTGAGAACGAAATTTTTTAAGATGGGTAGATTGTGACAGCCCGTCCCTGATTTTAAGAGTTTTAAAGTTTTAATAAAGGATTTTACAAAACTGCCCTTTGAGGCACGCGCATTATTCGAGGTTAATTGTTGTGTCATGCAATCTAAGATTTGTTTTCTTGACATATCCTAGTAGTACTCGTCGCTACGGACGCGTGGGCGCAGACGGTGCGTGATTTGGAGTTATATCGAAGAATTTATTAATGTTTGAAATTTGGGCATTTTAGAAATTATAATTTAGTAAAATCTGGAATTTCGTTTATGAAAATGGACGGCCCAGATTTAATGAAGAATTAAATGGATGGTTGGGATGAGAGAAAGAAGGTTTTGTGTGTGTGTGTGCGTGTGTGAAAGAAGAAGCCGTCGGGGAGGAAGGAAATCAGAGGTAGAAACGGGATTGGGCAAGGCTGCCCAATCTGGAAGAAAAGATGAGGCCAAATGGGGAGAAGAGAGAGGAAGATGAGTGACGAATCAGGGAAGAGAACAAGAGGGAAAGGAAAAAAAGAAGAAAATGAGGGAACCCAGCCGGGTTAACCCGTTCCTCCTGTGGACCCGCACGACCCAGAAGGATTTCCGGCCGAATTAGGCCATTTTTATCCAGTTTTAAAATGGTATCATCATGGCGTCATCCCAACTTCCATTTCCACCTGAGTTTGATGGTTATTGGTCATGATTTCACGACAAAAGTTCATGTCGAGCCCGAGGGCACCCATGGTGGAATCCGCCAATTCTGAAGCAATTTCTTCCAATTGACACTACACCTACGCTTCCCTTGAGGCCTAGAACGATGCCCAATTGTTGGTTGGGACGACGGAGTTGATTTGAAGACGAATTGGAACTCACCCAATTCTAGGGTTCCGCACGGAATTTGGTGAAATTGAAGTGTTTCCAGGCCAAATTGGCCTTGACCTCAGGTATAAATTTTACTCTACTCATTGAGATCTTCAATTCTGTATTTTTTGAGAATTTTTCGAAATAGTTGGATTTTTCCGGCGAGCCAGGGCGGCCGACCGCCACCCGCGGCGGCCCGTGCGGCGGCGCGTGGCCAATGGCCCTCCAATGTCATTCTTAGCATGTGTTTAAGGTTCTAGGTTCAGTTTTGAGAATTGATGGACGTAAATTGAGTAATTGAACCTAAGTTCGTTACGATTCGTGGTTAGGCCAAAAGGTGAATTGACGATCCAACCGTCGGATCGTCACCAAACTTTGATACGTTGTAATACGTAATATTTGAGGATTATAGGAACTTACGGATCGGGAATCCGATTTACGGATCTTTCGGAATTGGAGTTGTAAGTTCATAAAATAGAATGTTAACCGTCACTTGGTTTTGGAAATTGATGGAGATCCGACCGTTGGATGGTAATGAAATTTTAGGATGTTGTCCTAGAGGTATATTTTGGACCTCTGGAAGTTATGGATTTGAAATCTGAGTTGCAGATCTTCTGGATCGAACTACGTAGTGACGTGTTTTATATAAGTTATATATTCTATCGATATGATTTCTGAGGTTGGATTTGATTATTGTTCTAGGCGCCGATCGTCATGACACCTTGATGTGTTGTGCTAGGGAGTTGTTGGGCGAACTCCAGGTGAGTGGGAAATATTTCTGTTTATAGCTATATACTATTGATATTTTTCCAGAAATTGAGTTTAAATGAAAGTACGTTTTAAAATGCCATGCATGCATATTATGAGATATATGAATTGATAATTGATGCATATATATATATATATATGTGTGTGTGTGTGAATTGGTGTTGTGGGTGCACAGGTGAGTATCAGGTGAGTTTTATGTTATTCATGTGAATCGTTGATGATATGAATTGTGTTGAGAGCTCATAACATGCACCCCTGGTGTTAGTGCTTATATTATTCACCGCACCGCACGCTCACCTTGGATCCAAGTAGGTGCATGTCATACAGACCAATAGAGGGTTCCAACATGCTAGTCGTACAGACCACTAGAGGTGGTTCCGACTGGTAGGTGACCTTAAATTATATGCACAGATGATTGATGAGAGAAGCACTATAGCGTATTATTACACCATTCTTGTCGTACATACTACTTCAGGTAGTTCCGACTTATGTGCGGAGTAGTGCCATACAGTTCACCGTGGTGACTCCGGTTGGATTGGATATTGAGCTACCGAATTAACCGTACAGGACCAACTGCAGGGTCTCTGATTGATTCCTTATTTCACCTGTTATATTGATGCATCCATATTCTGTTTTTGACATTATGACATGGCATACTTTCTGGTTTTGATAAAGATTGATGATTTGAGATATTTGAAGGTATATGTTATTATGTTATTTTCTGGGAAAGTATACAGGTTTTACAGCGAGGGGTTAGAAATGTTTTAAATGAAATGTTTTCGAAAAACTTTATTTTACTGACCCACTCAACTTTGTTTTGCGCCCCTCCAGGTTCTAGATAGCAGAGCTTTGGTGGCCACGAGGAATCCAATGGTGTTCTGACAGAATTCACAAAAGTAGGACTCACCCTCGGGTGTTTCATCTTAGTAATTGTATTTTTTTAAGCTTCCGAACTGTTTAAATGGTTACGTCACTCTCACGTGACGGCCAGCATGCCCTCCTTCGAGACGGGGTGTGTCAATTATGACATCCCACATCGCCCAAGGGAGTGATCCTTAAATGTATATTCTCATCCCTACCTAGCACGAGGCATTTTGGGAGCTCACTAGCTTCGGGTTCCGTCAGAACTCCGAAGTTAAGCGAGAAGGAGGCCAGAGCACTCCCAAGATGGTTGACCCACTGGGAAGTTGCTCGTGAGTTCCCAAAAACAAACCGTGAGGGAATGGTAAGCCCAAAGCGGACAATATTGTGCTACGGTGATGGAGCAGGCCCGGGAAGTGGTCCATCTCGGGCCGGGATGTGACATATTACATACCCCAAAATAAGAGGAGGCTAATGAAAAAACATTAGAACATTATTACAAAATACCAAATGTTCAAGGATATGCAAAATGAGGGAAGTTGTGTTTCAATGTTAAGGAACCTGGCATGTTTTTAACTATAAAACCCTTTAATTTTCATCAATCACCAAGGGAAATGGTATTGGAAATTTGGCTTGATATATTGTTTTAAGAGTTATATTGACGATGTTTTCATGAAGGCTTTCCACATTAAACATCTAAACGACCATGTAACCATCGTCTAAGCACGTTTATATATGCTTTCACGTTTTTCAGACTCGTACGTTAATGATTATGATTTTTTTTATTATTTTGAAATCCCTTAAAAATGCTATTCATGAGGGTTTGTAAGGTTTCAAAATTTTAAACGACAATGTGCATATCTTCAAAGTGTAGAGGATGCGACCACGAGCGTTTGCATATTTTTTTCACATTTTTCTCACTTGTAAATTAATTTTATAATTTTTAATGTGTTTGGTATTTTTAAATTACTTGATATTTTTATTTTTAATCTGTTTTATAATTTTTTTTAATCTCACTGTTTGCCTATAGTCTATTGCAAAAATAAAAAATAAATAGGACTTAAATTTTTTAAATTTATATAGGATAATAATACAAATACATATTTAATGTACAATATATACATATACACTATGGCTATCGTATTTTATAGTAAGTTTTTTTAGTAGTTTAAAAATTAAAATCATCAAAATAACTTTTTTCTTAATGTGTCGAAATGGGTTACCCGCATGTCACCCTCGTGTAAACCTGTTAAGGACCCGTTATTAAGGGGTTCTTATCGTGTGACCCAATAACAACCCGATTAGTTATCGTGTTGACCTGAAACCCATTATTGTCGTTTCGTTTACATGTCCTGTTAAAGGGCCGTGTAAGAAATTGCCAAGTCTAGCCTACTTGTCCGAAAATGAACCAAGAACTTTCAAAGAAGCAATATCTTCTTCTGAGACTCCTTTTTGGAAGGAAGCAATGAGAATTGAGATGGAGTCCATTATGAAAAATAACACA